TATAAAAATAATAAAAGTAAATATACTTCCTTACAGTGGTTCTCAACCTTCCTAATGCCGCGACCCTTTAATACAGTTCCTCATGTTGTGGTGACCCCCAACCATAAAATTATTTTCGTTGCTACTTCATAACTGTAATTTTGCTACTGTTATTAATCATAATGTAAATATCTGATATGCTATATGTGTTTTCCAATGGTCGCGACCCACAGGTTGAGAACCGCTGCAAAAAGTCTATATAGAGAATGTTATTTCCTTTCTATCGGAAAATCAGTGACATCATCACAGAAGACAAGAAAAATCCTGCGAGATGGCCCTCATCCAGCTAATAAAATAATTGGCACAGAAAGGGATAGAAAATATCCCCTATCGTTGCAGAGAAGGCAGCAAAAGACATAGGGATGATGCCTGACAGCCTGGATTCTAGGGCCCAGATAGAGACCCACACGGTGAGGGAAAAGGTGGTGAATTTCATATTCCTTACTGTGTTCCAAATCCGTTTCCCCAGACTGGTCCTGAGTTTTAAGCATCTATGCCTCCCTTAAGGACTCACAAAATTTCCAAAAGCTCCATGTATTTTTACACGCTACTCCCTGGAATTCTTGACTCCTGCCCACGTAACTAGTACAGACATTCATGTATCTGCAGTGGACTGATATTGCCATTCCCCTGCCCTGGTGAACATGGATGTGCCCGGGCCCACATGGAATTCAGGAAGCAGAATGAGGGTGGTGACTAACACCATGAAACCTTACCCTCAAGTCAGCAAATGAAGGCTAGAGCTGTGCCTCTTAAAAACAGGCCCCAAGGATCTTCCGGGCTCCCACCACAGGGCAGGGCACTGACCCTGATTGAAGAGCTGGACTACAAGTCTGATTCACAGGACCAAGTGGAGTGGAGGGGAGGTCACAGAACTGGAAGCACACCCAGTCCAGTTCTGGACACCTGCCCGTCTGCCCACGAATGACCATTGTGGAATCGAAGGCACGCGGGCTGCGCCAAAAACTCAGCCTGAAGTCTCCATACACGGCCCAGCCCTGCAACCACAGCGGTCTCCATTCCAGCCCTGGCTACCATCCGGAAGGCATCTGTTGCCTCCCGCTTGGCCTGCAGCTCTGTGGTCCCAGTATAACCCAGTGGCCATCAATCTCCATCTCTGCTAAATGTCACCCTACTTCTAACTCTAACTGACTGCAACTTGCCCTTTGGGATAACAGCTTTACTCCTGAGTGCTCTCCGCTAAATGAGTGCCACCTTGTCTCTTTCCTCCACATCATCATTATAATTAATAAGCAACAATATCATCCCTGGTGGTTATGTTATTATTAGGTGTTAACTGGCCTTAGCATCATTATCTCATTAAGCCTTTCCACCTAAATTACTTTATCAGCTTCCCTCCAAAGGGGGTCTGGTCCTGTCTGGCTGAAAGGGTTCCCCTGCATGAACACACGAAAGCACAAGGATAAGCACGGGCATTTAGACCCGTTCCAGACATTAATCATCTTGAAAAATCAATCTTATTTCTACTACTAGGAATATATATGTTACATTGCTATCAATCCTCTCATCCAAGTGCTTAAAGCCATACTCAGAAGCTTTTTAACTCACTCATTTTTATGAGGAAAAAAGGTTGAGGGAATACATTCTAAAATACTTACTACAGTTAAAACTACCCTCCCCACCCTCCCCATCACTGCCCACATTTCCATTTGGATAAATTTTCTCCAGTTCTTTCAGTAAGAGGCTGAATTTCAACATTTTCATAGAAAAGGCTATGGACAGATTTGCTTATTTAGTCCCCATTTCAGTGGTTCTAGATGCAATCTCTTCTTCAACTCCCCCCAATAATGCATATTAGCTTTCTTTCCTTTCATAGTGTTCATTTTATAATTTGGCCTTTTGTAAAAGGGAGAGGAGGACAGTTTTATTCACAGATGAGTGGAGAACATAAACTAATGCATTTCCCTAGAATGCTTTCCTTCCTGAGGACTACTGCTTCCTCTGTTGTCCTGGCAATTTCATGCTGACCATGAACTCTTTTCATCTTGTCTTTCTTTATTTCTAGATTGTACACGTTTTCCAAAGGTTGGGAGACATTCTACCAGGGGTTCAGACTTGCCTCTTGCAGGCATTAGTCACGTTTTGCTTTCCATCCCCATTACCTCCCTGCTTCCTAGCCTTAATCATCATCCATGTAATTCATCATTCATCCTCGCTTTCCCTAGTAATTTCCTATTTTTAAATGTCTTATTATCTCATATTCCTCATTACCCTCATTATCCTTCCAACTCTGTTGTTTATTTAATTTTCTCACAAACTGTGTAGTCTTAGTTGGTTTGTGGCATTTGTTCCCCCTTCCTTGCCCCCAATCCATAAGTCATCTCTCGTCCCGCTTCTTCTGCTTTCAGAGTTCCAAGTTTTTGTTTTTCTTCTGAAGGTGCAGGTCATGGTTTGAAATGGTGATGAATCTTAATGTTCCCAGACTCTCTTCTTATTTATTTACTTAGTTTTTTCTTACTTTATTTTTATTGTTGACACTATTTGCCCACCTCCATCCAGCCCCCACACCCCTTCCCTCTGGTTATGATCACACTGTTGTCTGTGTCTGTGTGTCAGGCATATATGTTCTTTAGCTAATCCCTTCGCTTTCTTTCATCCAGTCACCCCTCTCCTCCTCTTTGACAACTGTTGGTTAATTTTTAATAGCAATTTTCATTCCAAGGGGGAAATCATCGTTCTCAAGTCTTCCCACAGAGGCAATCAAATATACGAGGTCTTTTTTCTAGTTAATTTGGGATACAGATCTCAAGTGAAAGACTTCACAGTTGGATGGTGTACATCTGTAAAGCATTGACCATTCTTCGTTCCTTTAGCAACTGAACCATGGCCAAAAACACATAGTAATGTCCTATGAATTTATGTCATTTGAACCTTTTCTCTCAGGGATTTAAAGTAAATCCCTAAATGCAAATCCTGCTGCCATCAAACTTTCTGGCAGTGCTCAGCCTCTCTTCCTAGAAGAGCGTGATGGTTGTTTTATTAATGTTTTGTTTGTGTTTTGTTTTGGAAACTTCAGGACCTTCTTTCTTTTTCTTTTGATCTTCCTTTCCTCCTCCTGAAATCTCGGGATAAATGATTTTAGCATCTCTAGAGACACTTCCCTTTATTTTGTCCATGTTAGGATCCTTCCTCATCTCATCTTTTTCCAATGATACCTTCCTAGTTCAATTGATAGGGGCCAGTTCCCATTTTTGCAATCTCACCTTTGTATTCTCCCTCGCTTGCCCACTATCACTTTTACTCCACACACACACACTGTATTTCTGACCCTGACCAAGTTCAGCAGTTTGTATGGCTGCTGCAATTCTCACAGCCTGTCTCTCAGGTCAAGAGGGTGGCCTTCTTGTTCCCACAATGCCCTTCATTGTGGGCAAAAGAAATGTCATCGTGGTGCTGGCAAAGGAAAAGCATCATGATCACCGACTTTGTTAGTGATGACCCCAAGGCAATGGAGGTAAACACGTTGACCCAGGGACAGCTCATTACTACGCCATGATGAAAGGAAAAATTGGGGTAATTTCTCCAACTTGAACTAGCTGCCTATTGTCTTTCTCTGGAGTTCTATGTTCACTTTTCAAAGCTTATTGATTTTCCTATTCCATCATAGGTATATGATGTCTTACACCAGAAAAAGTTTAGTAAATTGAAACCACCAAATCCTAATATTCATTTTCATGTGATTATGACTGTACTGTCATTCTAAGCTAGCCAAAGTTTTACATTGCCTATACAGTGGGAAAGCCCACTGTTGCTTTGAAAAGAATCAGGTTCCTCTGTGTTAATCCTTTCATATGGGACCCTTTTTTCTACAATTTTTTTCTAAAATATGACCCTTTTCCCCCTCACTATTATAATTCACACACAATTTCTCTGGAGGGTATGATATAGTCTAATTTTCTTCATTATTCAATTTGGATCCCGTTAAGTGAGACAGGCATTCATGACAAGAAAGAACATTTAAATTTTGGCTAATAAGTTCATTAGTATTCAGAAAGCTTTGTGCCCCTCATATTTAATAAATCTTTCCATTACAGAGTAAGAAATGCTGCAAAATAGTCAAACAAATTAGCAGTGGGGGCACCAAGAGAGCACATCCATCCCTGATTCAGAGATGTCTTCGTTTATCAGTTTTCTGTCAATCAGTAAAACAAGAAAAATGAAACATGCAATTATATACAAGGAGACAGGACTTCTAATTCTTTCACCCGAGCTGAAGCAAAAGAGTTTTAATTGCTCTGAAAAATGAGATTTTTGTTTTCTCTCAAGAGGGACGGAAAAACAAATATAAATCGCCTTAAAGTCGATGACTGGAGCTGCAGGACTTGACTATCCAAAGCAGAGGTGGGAAGGCCAGTCCATCATCTGTCCTCTGTCTTCACAATGGCCAATGTCCAGATATTTGGAAATACGAGATGGTTGACAACGTTTCCTCTTCTACTGCAGCTCCTTCAGCACGTAAGAAAAAAATAGTCCCCTTTTCATTACAATGCTTAGAGTCATATAGATTTACTGATACTGTTTCTGCTTAATGGGAGTAACACTGCACTAAGGTATTTGAATATGCTGTCATTTATTCTGGGATCGATTTTTCATTTATTTGAGTTACTAGGCCCTTTGTTTCTCTCCTAAGTCCTGGCAGCCATCCGATCTTATGAACTTTACACTATTTTTAGCATATTTACAAGAAGGGAAGTAAGGTCAAGGAGAAGAGATGAAGCACTAATCAATCCATTTATTAATGTTGCACATGTGCAAAGAATGAAAACAAAAGAGAAAATTAAAGCTCTTGGCTATGGAGAGTTATAGGCATTAACCAGAGGTATCCATACATTCCTTGACCTCAAATGGGAAGTGAAATTGAGAGTCAAAAGTAATTAATTCCACCATTTAAGCCAGACATTGAAGTCTCTAAAACTATTTCCCAGGGTAAAATTCTCAAACCAAACAGTTTGTGTCAGCAATTCTAATTAAGAGATTTCATAGGTTATTTTTCTATAAACTTGCTACACTTAGAGATATATGTCAAATAGAATTGTTAACAATGGAAAAAACAAAAATGAGAAGTCGTTTACATGGGATTCACATTGGAGTATAGGAAAATGTCAGGTTTACCTTGGATCTGCAAACCTATCATACACCTGGCACAGAGCACATGGTATATGCTTAGTAGAAATGTGATGAAGGAAAGGAGAGGAAGAAAGGCAGGGGTAGAAGAAAGGATGAAGGAGGGAATGAAGCTGCTATGGGCTCTACAGGTATGTTTTAGAACCTTCTCAACTCCAAAGGGGAAAGGCAGACTCATTATATCCTACAAGGTTGATAAACAGCCCCCTGCCCCCCCCCCAAAAAAAAAGCCTGTCAAGTGCAGATCCACTTGACCTGGCAGCTTAGGAACAGGAGTTAGAAACAGTTGGCAACCACAAATTGTCTAGTAGTCTGGGGCCTGGTGTTAACATTTTTAGAGCTTGAAAGGGTCTTGGAGTCACCCAAGAAGCCTCTGAGTGGATTGTGATGTGACTTGCCCACAATCACATAGCTTGTTATCATTAGAATAAAGACCAACATTTCTCACACTGCAGTTTTCCTACATAAAACATGATAGCTGGTCTCTGAATTCTGTCCGTTCTTATTCCCCTCCCCAGGAGCATTTTCCTAACCTGAGCCCCTTCCCTTGACACCATGAAGCTTTATACTGCTTGCTAGGGAAACAGTCCACGCTGGTTCACAGGGCATTACTAGAATGCAGCTTATATGTCTTATAATAGCATGGCCCCTAGGCATGACTAATTGGAAACCGGGGCTCAAAAAAATATTTCTGGCCACTGTTTGCTGTGGCCACTGCTCTTCACATTTAAGAGAAAGCAAAAATATAAGTTTCATGAGGTAGGAACCTTGTCTGTCTTGCTCCTAGGTCTCCACAGTGTCCAGCTGTTATTTAACAACTTGTTGAATTATTGAACATGACTACCAGTTTCATAGTTCAAGATTCCAAGAACATTTCTTGATGTCCTCATTTACAAATAGCCAGCAATATCACTCTTAAGACAAACTCTACATGGTGTCGCCAATGATCTAATTAATTCAACACAGAGTCTGATCTCCCAATGCTTCGGCAAAGAGTTCAAGCTTCATTTGACTTGATCTTCTCTGTTAACAACTCTCACCCACAAGTGAATGAATAGACATTAAAGGCTAACATCCTAGAACTGAAATATAGGAAGTTTATGACTCTTCATTTTCAAATCCTGGAGTGCAGAACAGAGACATGTAGGCTAATAAATTGGTCTCCTTCAAGCCACTACTTACTGGGTCTTTGCTAGAGGACCTGCTGAGCTCTGCATGGGGGAGAACAAAGCAGAATGACCACTAGGGTAGTCTGCCTACCCACCATGGTTACAAACAGTCCAGCTGGGGCTCCCAATTTTTATATCCCAGTAGGAAAAACAGGAGCCCTGCAATAAATCATCCCCACTCTCTTCTATATTCTTATTACTCCCTTCTTCCCACCCCTAAGGAATTCATCAAACCATTCCTTCCAGCCCTAAAAGAAGTACTGGTATTATTTCCATCTTTTTGTATTCCATGAATGTGTTAGCGCACTATGGACATTTCCGTGCCCTTATCAGTTAGTTCTCCAAGCAGTTGTCCAACTGGTCTGTCTTTAATCTGACCCCATTGGCAGCCATTACTTGAATGAAGAAGGCAATTTAGTTGAAACTGCAGTTGCTGTTCTTCTTTTCTCAGGGGTAGGTAGCCCATCCCGAGGTCTTCTTGCTGATGGTGTCCAGGGGCCAGGTTTCAAGAAGCTCAGTGGCAGCCGCGCGAAGCAATATAGGAAAAGGCCATGCTCCTCCAAAGGAGTGGGTTTTCTTTCTGTCTCAGCAACTGTAAAATTATAAATCAAAGATTATAAAGTTAAGCCATGGCTCAAGTGAGGATCTTGGTAAATACGCGGCTTAAAGAAAACCCGATGACGGATTCATTGGCATCTACACGAAGTCTGTGGTTTTCCAGACAATGCAGCGGAGACTTGGGAACACGGAAAGCATGCCTGAGGATTCCCCACTCCTGCATTTGCTTTGCTGTCCCAAAGAAAGAGGGGGAAAAAAGTGTAATTGTAACTGCATACAATTAAATCTGCATGCAGAAAAGATGTAAAATGAGTGGGCCAGGGAGAAAAGGAAAGACCATCCCAAAACAGCCTCTGCTTCCTCACAGTGCTTCACAGGGCTGGCCTGAGTGGGAGCTAAGTAAATAATTATTTTTGGAGAAAAACATGGATTTAAGATCCTGTGAAAAGTTAAAAGCATAGTGACCCATGCCTTACCCAGTTCCTGGGCGACCAAAATGACTATTTCCTAAAGTCATTAACAAAATAACACAGTGGTCCAGATGAAGCATCACTAGTTTAGGGCATTTCTTCCAAAAGCACCATGGGAAATGTGTTATAGCACCATTGCCAAGGTGCCAGGCAAAACCACCAAATCAGTGACTGGCTTCCACCCCCTTCCTTGATGTGCCCTCTGTCCTTTCCTCAAGCTCCAGGAACCCAGTGTACATGTGTTGTTATCCACCCACTCAAGTTTCTTTAATTTAGAATACCAGTTAAACTGAAAGTCTTCCAATAGCTAGATTTACTCAAATCCTAGAGTATTAACAGTTGGTGGCTTTAACATGCCCATGGGATATTTGCAATTTAAAAATGGAGCTCATCTACATGAAACTCTTTAACTACTGGAATATGGGAAGAAGAGAGAGGAGGGGTTAAGCGAGCAAGGAAAGAGGAGGGGCTTCCCATGCTTGTTTAATCTCACGACCAATCCACACCAACTACCAAACCTCTGAACAGTGGGCTTCAGCAACTTTGCCTCCAATGACATTACACAGCTGCTAACCTGGGACTGAGATAGTAGTTATATCCTCACAGCACCCAAAAAGGAGGAGCCTCTACATGTGAGCCTGTAGAAAAGGCACCTACAGGTATCAGTGATCTTGTCTGCATTCCAGTATCTAACCCTGTTCCAAATCTCTCACTTTACAAAGAAGCAAACTGAAAAGCGAGTGGCCTACCTAGTGAAACACCAGAATTGACTAAAATGTAGGGCCAAGACTGAGCCTAGGTCTCCCAAATCCCAGTCCACAGCCCTGCCCAAGTAAGTCCCCATGAGCACAACACATTGTCTTTGCTCCAGACACAGACAGGAAGATCATGTTCTTCAAACTCCAGAGCGATATTTGGGTAGTATCTGAGTAGTAATTTCCATTTCTAGACAACAGTCTGGTTCAGTGGGTCTAAGAGCAGTATTTGGGTAGTATGAGTAGCGATTTCCCCTTCCTGGACAACAATCCGGCTCATTAAGTCCAGGGAGACACAGGAATGTTAGCTCATTCCCTGGGGGATTCTGATCAGTGAGTGTAGGAACCACCCCTACCTGCTTCACTTGTTGTTCCTCTACCTATCAGCACCATGCAGCCAGTTGAAGGTCCCCCTGAGGGACTGCTGGGGACATCTACTGGAGCCTAAAGATCAAAAGGCTGTGACCATTGGTGCACAAGTCAGAGCCCTGAAGGCAAACCAGAGCCTCAAACAAAGAATGATTAAAATGCACAAGAAAGATTTCCTCTTAGGCCCTGTTGACCTTAATGACTTTGTGGCTAGCAATATCGCAGCAATACCCTCCAGGTTCCTGTATAATCAATCTTCCAACACAGTGCTGAGCCCTTACTTTGAGTAAGACTGTACCCAGGGCTGAGATGGACAAAGCAAAGTAAGGCCTGGTTGTAAACAATCTATTAGGGAGATTAGACATGTATACTTAAGAAGAGTATCAACATGACAGAGCAGTGTCCTTGAAGATGGAACACAACACCACAGCTCAGTGTCATACAGGCATGTCCCATGCAATTAAATGTTTTCCATACCCATTGCCTGGCAGAATCTTGTAGCAGATCCTACCGCCCCGAGGTGCTGATTCAGTGAGCCCGAGGAAGAGCACAGAACCTGTATTTTTAACCAACTACAGGTGAATCCACAAATGGACTTTTAAGATTCTTATAGTGTTTTTTAAGGCTGAGCTGAGAAAAATCCACAGGAATTAGGATGTTGTATTCTATATTCATGGTTTGCAGCCCCTCAGCATTCCTGGCTACTCAACTGGGCCCCTGAAACCCATGTCTGTTTGGTTTTGTTCCTCTGAGGTCAATCTTGGGCGATGCTAGCTTCCTACTTTTTATTTCCTACATAAATAAGATGGAATTCCTCTTCCCAGTAGGAATTTGTTTTCTGGAAAAGGATGCAGCTTTATTCTTCAGGGAAACAGGCTAAAGCCCATGTACAGCTGTCTATTATATGGTTCTATTTATATAAAATGTCTAGAATAGGCAAATCCATAGAAACAGAAAGCAGATTAGCGGTTGCCAAGGGCTGGAGGGTAGATCTGAGAGATGACAGCTAA